AAGTGGGATTTGTAAGATCGGCTTTTGCACTGTTCCTGACCACAGTTCTTTGCCCAAGATCTTTCCCAAGTACAGAAAAGCTGGCAGCTGAGAGGTGTGACACAATCTTCTTTTCTGCTGCTCTGGAGAATAGGACACAATGGAGCAGTGGGTTCAAATGGCAGGAAAAGAGATTCCACCTAAACATGAGGAATAACTTCTTGATGTATTGTCAAAGGCTTTCATGGCCAAAATCACTGGGTTGTTGTGTGTTTTCCGAGCTGCATGGCCATCTGTGGAAAGTCCAGGGTGGGAGAAAGAACTCTTGTCTGTTGGAGCTAGGTGTGAATGTTGCACTTGGCCACCTTCAGAGAAATTCCAGACAAGAAACAATGAGGGCCAGCTAATCGTCTCACAACCTTTGAGGATGCCTGCCATAGATGCAGGCGAAACATCAGGAGAGAATACTTCTAGAATATGGCCATACAGCCCGAAAAACCTACAGCAACCCAACTCTTGTCTGTTTGAGACAAATATGAATGTTGCACTTGGCCACCGTGATTAGCATTAAATAGCCTTGCAATTTAAAGGTCTGCCTGCTTACTGCCTGGGGAAATCCTTTGTTGGGAGGTGATTAGCTGGTCCAGATTGTTTCTTGTCTGGTATTCCCCTGAAGATGGCCAATTGCAACATTCACACTTGCCTGCTATGTAGCATTATACTTTTAAATTTGTCATATGCTAATGTTTTCACAAATAGTCCATATTATTTAGCATTTATAGGACTAACATTTCACTCTGCTACTTAACACCTATTGCTAACGTAAATGGTACACCGAATAACAATAGTTGGCATCAGTGGTAGTTCTGTGTTCTCACTGCTAAAGGTGAGAAGGGCTTTGTCTTGATGATGAGAAAATCTCATTAAGCAAATCAGGTTAATGCTATTTTGGAGCTTGACGTATGGTCTGCAGTCAGAAAGCAGTGCAGTAAAGTCAACATCCGCAGCTTTTTTTCTCTCTTTTCTTCCTTCCTTCCCTTTTTTGTTTCATTCTCTCCTTCCTTCTTTTCTTCTCTTCCTCTTCTCTTCCTCCCCCCCCCCCCTTTTCTTTCCCTTCCTCTTTCTCCCCTTTCTTCCTTCTCCACCTATTCTTGGACTGTACCTCCCAGCAGTCCTCCTGATCTATCTCTCTCTCTCTCTCTCTCTCTCTCTCTCTCTCTCTCTCTATCTATCTATCTATCTATCTATCTAATCTATCTGGAGGATTGCTGGGAGTTGCAGTCCAGGAATAGGAAATTGGAAATATGCAGGAATTGGGATGCTCTCAAAGAAATCCAAGGAGAAGGAAGCGTGCAGCTAGGAAGCAGTACATTTGGAACATCTTCCTCTCCTAAAGCGCCTGGTGTAGGGGATTCTGGGAGCTGTAGTCTGGAAGAGAGTGTGGATATGCTATTGCGTGTTTTGTTTGCTAGGGGAGTCATTTTTGCGCATGCGCTGTAGCGTCTTTTTGCTTTTTTGGCCTTTTAAGTTCCTTCTGTTGTGTTTTTTAGTGGTTTTTTTGAGTGATGGTCACTTGTTGACCTGATAGGTGTATTGTGTCCAAATTTGGTGTCAATTTACCCAGTGGTTTTTGAGTTATGTTAATCCCACAAATGAACATTATATTTGTGTGTGTGTGTGTGTGTGTGTGTATACACACACACATACACACAAACACACACACACGTATACACATACCCATAGCCCCCAGTGGGGCAGCGGGTTAAACTGCTGAGCTGCTGAACTTGCTGACCGAAAGGTCGTTGGTTCGAATCCAGGGAGCAGGGTGAGCTCCCGCTGTTAGGCTAACCTAGCAGTTCGAAAACATGCAAATATGAGTAGATCAATAGGTACCTCTTTGGCAGGAAGGTTTTAATCTCTAGGATTTTTTTAAACATGCTAAACAATACATTTTTTCCTAATAGCAGGATATTGTTTTGCTTCTGTTTCTGACCCCGTTTCCCTTGGTTTTCACTTGCCAAGCAGAAAGCAATTTGTTTTGAATTGTTTCGCTGTGTCTGAAAACTATTGGAAGGCTGAAGGGATGAATTTTCTCAGAGGTTCAGCCTCGGTCATTGAAAATGTTTTATAATTAATCCAGTCATGCTGGCCACATGACCTTGGAGGTGTCTATGGACAATGCCAGCTTTTCGGCTTAGAAATGGAGATGAGCATCACCACCCAGAATCGGACATGACTAGACTTAATGTCAAGGGAAAATTTTTACCTTTACCTATATTTAACCCACCCTCTCTCCCCAAGGAGACTGAAAACAGCAATACACACATATACCTACACACATGCAGGTAACAGTGTAGTCTTAGAAAAATGTATGAAATTGATGGGTGCAAGCTGACTATCAGTCCTTGTCCCCAAAACAAAGATGAAAACTCACTTGGCCTCTTATTTCTAGATACTGGAACTATGGTTACATGAGAGGATCTCGTTTCGTCCTGTGTGCCACGTGCCTCGTCCTTCCACGGCACAAAGTGTTACTTAGCCTCCCACGGTGGTGGCTTAGTGATTTAAACTCTAGTTCCATAATGCCTAGATTTGCCTGCCTTTGCAAGTTCAACAGTTCATCTTTCTAAGGGTGGAACTATCCATTATGTTAGCAAAGCAAAGACACGTTTCCCTAAATGCCTCTCTGTAAAATGCAGAAAAGAGGGACATTTGCAGGGGTGTTTGATAAGAATTAGGAGGAGGCCTAAACTTCCTATTGATTCTCCCCAGCAATTGTCCTCCTGGGTTATTTTTGTTCAGAAAGTGGTACTCTCAAGGTGCATCTACACTGCTGAAGTAATGCAGTTTGATAATACTTTAACTGCCATGGTTCAAGGCTATGGAATACTGAGAGATGTAGTTTTAAAAAACCATTAACCTGTGCTAACAAAGAGTGCTGGAGCTTCTCTAAGCTACAGCTCCCATGAGTCCATAGCATTGAGCCATGACAGTTAAAGTGGTGTCAAACTGCATTAATTCAACAGCATAGATCAGGCATGGGCAAACTTCAGCTCTCCAGGTATTTTGGACTCCAACTCCCACAATTCCTAACAGCTGGTAGGCTGTTAGGAATTGTGGGAGTTGAAGTCCAAAACACCTGGAGGGCCAAAGTTAGCCCATACCTGGTGTAGATGCACTATTGGAAAATCCAGGAGAGAACCACAGTTGGTCCTCCACATTCACATTTTTATCTGTGGATATGATTACTTGCAAATTTGACTCTTCCAGAAGGTCAACATCCTCCAGAAGTTGATCACAGGGTTGTGTTGGAGAACCTGAGAGGTGTTAGGAATTGTGGGAGTTGAAGTCCAAAACACCTGGAGGGCCAAAGTTTGCCCATACCTGGTGTAGATGCATCATCGGAAAATCCAGGAGAGAACCACAGTTGGTTCTCCACATTCACATTTTTATCTGTGGATTACTTGCAAATTTGACTCCTCCAGAAGGTCAACATCCTCCAAAAGTTGATCACAGGGTTGTGTTGAAGAACCTGAGAGATGTTCTCTGGGGGGGGGGGGGGGGAGGGACTGTGTTTTCTATCCAAGATTTGTTGCTCTTTCATGGAGGTCCTGCTCTCAGTGAATGTAGAGAACTGGCTGTACCAGAAATATGGGAGAAGGAGGTGTTTGCAGGAGATAACTAGTGGAAGAAGGAAGAGTTGACAACAACTAATCCACCCATGCAAACCATATGTAAGGCATAGTTTTATCAGGTTACATCTCCTTTCAACAGTAGTTTGATTATATATCTATATATTGGGTGGTTTCATGGTATTAGGAACTGTGATTGGTTTGAATGTTGGGCTAGCCTTCTAGGAGACAAGGGTTCAAAGCCTGCTGGGCTATGGAAACCCATTGAGTGGCCTTGTCCAAGCCACACTCTCTCAGCCTCAGAGGAAGTAAATGACAAACCCTCTATGAACAATGATTGCTAAGAAAACCTTTAGGCATTAGAATAGGCATTGGCAAATTTGGGCCCTCCAGGTGTTTTGGACTTCAACTCCCACAATTCCTAACAGCCTACCGGCTGTTAGGAATTGTGGGAGTTGAAGTCCAAAACACCTGGAAGGCCAAAGTTTGCTAATGCCTGCCTTAGAGCTAAACACTTAGAGGGCATGAGTGAAGGAACATAATCTTCTTAGGAGCAATACATCTATAAACCACAAATGGGAATTTTCTGTCAGTTTGGAGACGCTTTCAGAGTATTTGGAGCAATATATTCTCGAGCAAGGAAATCCCCAACATAAACGCTGTCACGTTACTAAAGAAGTGTTGCCATCTGGTTACTAAATCCCACATTATTATTTTTTGTGGGGTTAGGATGCATTAACCCATATGATTGCTTTTATCTGGGGTGTCATGAGTAGTAAAAATGGAAAAGAGAGGGAGGTGATTTCTGAAAGGATGAGAGAGAGAAGGCCACGTGTAAAGGATTGCCTGGGGAAATGGATTCGAGCTCATGGAAATCCCTTGAAATGCTTCTCCTGTCTTGAATTGTGATTCATGGAATCACAACCGTCTCCAGGCCTGGAATGGCAGAACAAAGCAGCTGCCTCAGGTATCCAAATGAGAGACAGTCAGTGGTGATAAAGACTTGGGAAGACAGGATGCCCAAGTAGCATATCTAAGCCAGTCTGCTTCTTTCAGGTGTCATATGAAAAAGCATTATATGGTCAGTGTAGACTCATTAAAAGCAGTACAATGTAGTTAAACTGCATTATATGTGTTTACACTGACTATTTAAGGCTGTTTCATATGGCACTATAGATATGAACTCTGATAACTGTCCTCGGCAATCCATGCCCAATAAGAATGGATTGCTTCCATCAATAACGAAGCAAATGCAATTGATATGAAAAACAAACCGGAGGAAACAAATGCAGTCAATAAGCCTATCAAGGAATTGACCAATAGCGCCGGGGAGATTGCTGCTTGTTACAACGACCTTGAATGAACTTAAGCAGGATAAGTCATCTGCAGGGATTGAAACCTAGCATGAGTAAAAGCCAGCAAGCGGCAGGGCAGCGGAGCTGTAGGAAAGAGGTGTCTGTCAATCGTCTCGCCAGTGTCGCCTTTGATCCCTCAATGGCTTCTTGGTGCCGGAAATGCAGGAAGCGTGTGTGTGAAAACCCTCCTTTCTCCATCGTCAGAATAAGCGAAGGCGAAATGAAGTCCTACTACAACTTCCTAAGAGAGTGCACCAAGTTGGCAAAGATGGCCAGGAGAGGTATGGGAAAGATCTATTTACTGCATAATCCAAAGCGTCTTTGCCGAGACATGAATCCCCCGAGTTCAGTACAACATTCCCCTTGATGGAAGTGCTTAGGTCTGCTGTCTTAAGCAGAAAGGGCTGCCGTCCTATAATCAAATCAGTATTGATTTGGGGGCCATTATTGTTATTACCTTTTAAGATTGATTGTGCTTGTAGGCTTTGAGATTCTGGGAATAGATTGACCATGCAGATTTAGTCTCTAATCAGAATGGTGTGTTGTGGTCCTAAGTGAGTTCACTCCAAAATTACTCCTGCTGTTCAATGAAACACAGTCCTCGAGAAACATAAGGGTTTCAGTCTGTGCGATGTAGCACTATAAAATGCAGTAATTATTTTGTTGATTGAATAATTTGGCAGTATTGAGGAGACTATTCCATCATAAGTATTGAAGAAGTAAGTTTCAAGCTGCCCCAGCCAACCACTTCTTATGGAGTTTGTCAAAGAACAATAGCACGTTCTTCACCAGGCATGGACCAACTTGGGCCCTCCAGGTGTTTTGGACTTCAACTCCCATCATTCCTAACAGCCTCAGGCCCATTCCTTCCCCCTCTCATGCAGTGAGGGGGGAAAGGAAAGAGCCTAAGGCTGTTAGGAATGGAGGGCCCAAATTGGCCCATGCCTGCTCTATAGCAAACTCAATTCCTCACCTACAGTCTTGGAAGAAATATGGATAGATATGTTTCATTTAACAATGTACACCTGCTTCCAAGCATTGCTGCTTTAGCAGGAAATTTGGTACTATTGGAGTTCAACCTGTGATTGTGTCTAATGTTCAGGGTACTCTGGATGTTGGGAATGACAGTGATGTTTCTAATGATGAGGTTGCCCTAGATGCAGAGAATGACAATGGAATTCCTGTTCAAAGTGTCTTTTCTGATGAGAATGTTCCTAAAGGGTTTGGGGATGTTGGTATGGCCCCTGGAAGAGGGCCTGAATTGGTATGAGAGAACTCCCAGGACTTTGAGTCTGAGAGAAGCTCGGCACCTGACCCAGCTACAGAAATTAATGAGCCAGTAGATAGAAGGCATATTTTCAGTCAGCACAGGCAAACAAACCAATCTCTGGGGTGTTCTGCCAGACTGAGAGAGAGATTGATAACAGAGTCAAGGCTGAAATAAAATCCGTTTCTGGCCACTTGGGACATAGAGTGGATTAGAGGATAAAAGTGCCAAGTACAGAATATATAGTCAGATGAAGCAACGTTGGAATTGAGTCAAGGCGTCTTTCCTGGTCTTTGGAAACCTTGCCTTGGATAAATTAATGTGTTAAGTGCCTTGTTTGATTTCATGATTCAAGTTTTGAAGTTTTACCATGGAAGTTTCTGTATTTGTTTTTCATGTACTCTGATGGACTAATTTCCTGGACTATTTGTTTCTGCTTATCTTTCTACCTAATTGGATTTACCTATTTTTATGGAGTGTATTTTATTGCTATTGCTTTTTAGTTATCTTCAATAAACTGCTTGCATTTTTACTCAGCTGTGTGGTGTTTAAAGTCAGAGGGTTTTCCTGGCCTGGAGTGCAACAGGTACTAGAGGCAGAAGAACGTAAGGGCAGATTTGATGTCTGTAGTTGTGTGCCTTCAAGTCGTTTCCAACTTAGGTTATCTTTAGTTGACTCTGCCACAGGCTTTTCTGGGACTGAGAAGATGTGACTTGCCCAGAGTCAACCAGTGTATTTTCAAAGCCCAATGGGAAATTCGAACCCAGGCTTCCAGAGCCCTAGACCAACAGCCAAAGCGTTGTGCCAGATTCATAGATATAGACCAAGCATGGGCAAATCAATGCCTGGGGGCTGGATGTGGCTCCCGGGTGCTTACTTCAGGCCCTCCTCATTTTCCTCATCCTCTTGGCATAAGGACAAGGTGGCCCACCATGTCCTTATGCCAAAAAGATGAGGGAGGAAGGCACGCAGAAGATGAAAGTCCTCTGAAGAGCTATCAGCCACTGCGTGCATCGCCTTCCTACTGGCATAAGGACATTGTGAGAATCTCCATCCAGGAGGACAGCTTGAGGAAGGCACACAGTAGCTGAGAGCCTTCCGGAGTACTCTCAGCCACCACATGTCTCGCCCTCCTTCTGGCATAATGCCAAGAGAACAGCCTGAGGATCGGGAGGGAGGATCAGGGCAGTCGTTGCATGTCTTGCCTTTCTCCCAGCACAAGGATAGGGTGAGCAGCCCCATCCTTATGCCAGGATAACAACCTGAGGACGACCTAGGCCCTGCTCTGCCCTTTCTTAGCCCTGTCCCTTCCAGGCCCACTCCACCCAGCATGGCACGACCCATGCTGGCCAGGCCGGCAATGCAGCTCTAAGGCAAAAATGTTTGTCAATGCCTGGTATAGACTACAGTTCAGCAGAGATTGTACATTTTTGTGTTTGATGTGGTAGTGAAGATAGGGCTCAAATGCCCTAAAGTACATGTGTCAAACTCAAGTCCCACGGGCCAAATCCGGGCCACCATGTCATTTGTTGTGTCCCTCCAGATGCTAGACTACAACACCTGTATTCCTCATCATTAGACATCATGACTAGAGCTGATGGGAGTTGGAATATAGTAATATATGAAAAGCTGCAGTTTGTTCTGTTTAGTTAGGAGAGCAGGGTTTGGATTTAGACGCAAGGCTTGCGGATATGATGTCTAGACTTTAAAATCTCCTTTGACCTTTTCCCAACCTCAGAGCCACAGGTTTTGTTTTTGTGTCAGAAGTGACTTAAGAAACTGCAAGTTGCTTTTGGTGTGAGATAATTGGCTGTCTGCAAGGACATTGCCCAGGGGGCACCTAGACGTTTTACCATCCTGTGGGAGGCTTATCTCATGTCGCCGCATGGGAAGCTGGAGCTGACAGATGGGAGCTCACCAGGAGCTCGCCACGCTCCCTGGATTTGAACCACTGACCTTTCGGTCAGCAGTCCTGCCAGCACAAGGCTTTAACCCATTGCGCCACAGGTGCTGTTGGGTTGCAATTCCCAATATCCCCAGTCTGCATTATGGATCATCAAAAGTGGAGGAATTTGTTTGTTTATTTATTTATTTACTATATTTATATACCGCCCCACTCAGCCCAGGGACGACTCAGAGCGGTTGTTGTTCGGTAACACCTGGGGACCCAAACTACTAAAGGTACTAACTAAAGTGCGCTAATCACATTGTAAAACAATTATAATTGGTCCTCTGTTTCCATTGATTCTCAATCCATGGATTCAACCGTGCTTTGAAGGCACCCATAAGGATGATGTGGCTCTTGATGAAAATGAGTTTGATACCCCTACCCTAAAGGAACCACATCCTATCTGTTCTTTGAAGTTCATGGTTAAGACTTGGATTGGAATCCACCAATGAAGGGTATATTTCATAGGAAGAAAGTGTCAAAAATATTCCTTGCCTAAGAAATTCATGGGATTGATAAGCAATTTGAAGGTGCATGCATGTAATCTGCACACACACAATATAGAAAGGACTCAATGAGAACCCGCTAACCTAAATGAATTGGTTTTTTGGGGTTCCATATTGCATTGCACCTGTAATTTTAAGTCTTGCCAACTTGCTAAATAGATGATGTGAATATGTATTGTCGAAGGCTTTCATGGCCGGAATCACTGGGTTGTTGTAGGTTTTTTCAGGCTATATGGCCATGGTCTAGAGGCATTCTCTCCTGACGTTTCGCCTGCATCTATGGCAAACATTTTCAGAGGTAGTGAGGTCTGTTGGAACTAGGAAAAAGGGTTTATATATCTGTGGAATGACCAGGGTGAGACAAAGGACTCTTGTCTGCTGGAGCTAGGTGTGAATGTTTCAACTGACCACCTTGATTAGCATACAATGGCCTGACTGTGCCTAGAGCAAACTTTTGTTGAGAGGTGATTAGATGTCCTTGTTTGTCCAAACACGAATCAAGGAACATGAAAGGCACTGCCGACTGCTTCAACCAGAGAAGCCAGCCATAGCAGAGCACCTGATGAACCAACCTGGACACAGCATATTATTTGAGAACACAGAAATGCTGGACCACACCAACAACCACCATGTCAGACTACACAGAGAAGCCATTGAAATCCACAAGCATGTGGACAATTTCAACAGAAAGGAGGAAACCATGAAAATGAACAAAATCTGGCTACCAGTATTTAAAAAACTCAAAAATTACAACAGCAAAACAACAGAGAGGAAACAATCAGGCACATCAAATCACCTCTCAACAAAAGATTCCCCCCAGGCACTTCCAAGCCATTAAATGCTAATCAAGGTGGTCAGTTGAAACATTCACACTTAGCTCCAGCAGACAAGAGTCCTTTGTCTCGCCCCGGTCATTCCACAGATTCCACAGATATATAAACCCTTTTTCCTACTTCCAACAGACCTCACTACCTCTGAGGATGCTTGCCATAGATGCAGGCGAAATGTCTGGAGAGAATGCCTCTAGACTATGGCCATATAGCCCGAAAAAACCCTACAAAACCCAGATGATGTGAACTTAGTATCTTGGGGTATATTGACACACAGGGTTTTTGGAAGCGTCTTATTTGAGGTCAAGTGGTTACTACATTTAGAATGAAAGATACAATTTGATCTGAATTCAGAATGCAAATGAGCATGACTGAAGTTTGGAAAACCATAGCTTTCAGCACCATACCAGAAATGAGAATCTTTCCTTTATTATTTTAGACAAGATATTCCAATTTCCAAATGGTATGACCACAGAAAAAATGTTTTGGGCAGATATAAAACAGTTTGGAGATTTCCTCGCCAAACTGCATCTTTTATTTTTCATGCACCTAGAATCATAGAATCAAAGAGTTGGAAGAGACCTCATGGGCCATCCAGTCCAACCCCCTGCCAAGAAGCAGGAAAATTGCATTCAAATCACCCCTGACAGATGGCCATCCAGCCTCTGTTTAAAAGCTTCCAAAGAAGGAACCTTCACCACACTCCAGGGCAGAGAGTTCCACTGCTGAA